CTATCTACATGTCTGTCTGTCTATCTATCTACATGTCTGTCTGTCAGTCTCTATCTATCTATCTATCTATCTATCTACATGTCTGTCTGTCTGTCTGTCTATCTATCTACATGTCTGTCTGTCTGTTTATATCTATCTATCTATCTATCTATCTATCTATCTATCTGTATGTCTGTCTGTCTGTCTATCTATCACTCTATATGTCTGTCTGTCTATCTATCTATCTACATGTCTGTCTGTCTATCTATCTACATGTCTGTCTGTCTATCCATCTATCTACATGTCTGTCTGTCTATCTATCTGTCTGTCTATCTATCTGTCTATCTATCTATCTATCTATCTACATGTCTGTCTGTCTCTCTATCTATCTATATGTCTGTCTATCTATCTATCTATCTATCTATCTATCACTCTATATGTTTGTCTGTCTCTCTATCTATATGTCTCTCTGTCTGTCTATCTATCTATCTACATGTCTGTCTCTCTATCTATATGTATGTCTGTCTATCTATCACTCTATGTCTGTCTGTCTGTCTGTCTGTCTACCTATATGTCTGTCTGTCTGTCTACCTATCTGTCTGTCTGTCTATCTATCTAGCTATATGTCTGTCTGTCTGCCTATCTATCTATCTATCTATCTATCTACATGTCTGTCTGTCTCTCTATCTACATGTCTGTCTGTCTGTCTGTCTGTCTATCTATCTATCTATCTATATGTCTGTCTGTCTGTCTGTCTATCTATCTATCAGTCTTTCTCTCGATCATCCATCCATCCGTCTGTCTGTCTGTCTATTAAATTTTTTAAATTGATCTCTCTCTCTCTTAATGAGTCTCTCTCTGAGTATCTCTACGAGTCTCTCTCTCTCTCTCTCTCTTAATGAGTCTCTCAATTCAATTCAATTCAAATAGCTTTATTGGCATGACAAAAATAAATTTTGTATTGCCAAAGCATTAAGACAACAAAGAGAATGGTTTAACCTCTGAACATATACATTAGAACATCTGACCATTTATTTATATATTATAACTAATATGTAATATATAACTAATATGGAAATGTCATATATACCCATAGATACATATAGGAAAAATAAATAAATATATAAAAAAATAATAATAATAATAAAGATTTTCCTGTAGCAACTGCTGGACTGAGAATTGGAACATTATGTACATGTGTAACAGTATTTCAGCTCTGGCCTGTGAGAGTGTCTCTATTGGCTGTGTGTTTCTGGATTGTGTTCGTCCCTCAGGTCAGAGCACGATGCTACGAATTTTGCAGCAATATTTCCACATTTGGCTTTTTCGCTGAGAATGAAACAAAGTTTTTCAGTTGGGCTACAAATGTTAAATTGGGGAAATATTTGATTAATTTTGGGGTAATAGTGGTCTCTAATGTTTTGGTATTTGGGGCATTCTGTGAGGAAGTCCAGCTGTGTTTCGATATCTCCCAGACTGCAGTGGGACCAGATTCTCTCCTCACGAGAGAGCCTATCTAACCATCTATCTAGTCTGAAAGTCTGTTGTCTTGTTTAGTCAAATAGAGCTAAATTAATTATTGACATGCCACTGTGAAATATCAGTTTAATTTCTCTTTAAATTATACATCAGCAAAGGCAGAACCTGATATCACAAAGAACTATATAAATAGAACTATACTATATATAACATATCAAAATTACATTGCACAGGATCCACATCTACACTTACTGTTGGTCTGTCAAAAAAACTACAGTACAATGTCATTGCGATACAGAAAATAAAATAAACAAGATTCTTATATATATATATAGAGAGAGAGAGAGAGAGATACAATAACATGTTTTTATATATATATATATTTTTTTTCAAATGCTTTATCATAATGTTACAATATATTGTAAAATGAGAATATTACTTGCGTTTATTCTCTCTTTAAAAAATATTTCATGATTAAATGTCTGCGTGCTAGTCTGCTACCGGAAATGAGCTGGCTAAAAAACAACACACAGAACTGCTCGACTCTTTAGAGATATAGATATAAATAATAGATATAACATGTAAATAATAGCGTAAACAAAGCGATTCTTGTTTAATATGATCTCAAGCACTCACCTAGTTTCGATGTCTTCGGTTATAACGCGTCTTTGATCTCCTCGGAGCCTTTAAACGCCGGGTTAGTTTCGTTTCTCGCGGCTGTGGGCGGATCATCAGCCGGTTTCTCATTTATTTATATATTATAACTAATATGTAATATATAACTAATATGGAAATGTCATATATACCCATAGATACATATAGGAAAAATAAATAAATATATAAAAAAATAATAATAATAATAAAGATTTTCCTGTAGCAACTGCTGGACTGAGAATTGGAACATTATGTACATGTGTAACAGTATTTCAGCTCTGGCCTGTGAGAGTGTCTCTATTGGCTGTGTGTTTCTGGATTGTGTTCGTCCCTCAGGTCAGAGCACGATGCTACGAATTTTGCAGCAATATTTCCACATTTGGCTTTTTCGCTGAGAATGAAACAAAGTTTTTCGGTTGGGCTACAAATGTTAAATTGGGGAAATATTTGATTAATTTTGGGGTAATAGTGGTCTCTAATGTTTTGGTATTTGGGGCATTCTGTGAGGAAGTCCAGCTGTGTTTCGATATCTCCCAGACTGCAGTGGGACCAGATTCTCTCCTCACGAGAGAGCCTATCTAACCATCTATCTAGTCTGAAAGTCTGTTGTCTTGTTTAGTCAAATAGAGCTAAATTAATTATTGACATGCCACTGTGAAATATCAGTTTAATTTCTCTTTAAATTATACATCAGCAAAGGCAGAACCTGATATCACAAAGAACTATATAAATAGAACTATACTATATATAACATATCAAAATTACATTGCACAGGATCCACATCTACACTTACTGTTGGTCTGTCAAAAAAACTACAGTACAATGTCATTGCGATACAGAAAATAAAATAAACAAGATTCATATATATAGAGAGAGAGAGAGAGAGATACAATAACACGTTTTTATATATATATATTTTTTCAAATGCTTTATCATAATGTTACAATATATTGTAAAATGAGAATATTACTTGCGTTTATTCTCTCTTTAAAAAATATTTCATGATTAAATGTCTGCGTGCTAGTCTGCTACCGGAAATGAGCTGGCTAAAAAACAACACACAGAACTGCTCGACTCTTTAGAGATATAGATATAAATAATAGATATAACATGTAAATAATAGCGTAAACAAAGCGATTCTTGTTTAATATGATCTCAAGCACTCACCTAGTTTCGATGTCTTCGGTTATAACGCGTCTTTGATCTCCTCGGAGCCTTTAAACGCCGGGTTAGTTTCGTTTCTCGCGGCTGTGGGCGGATCATCAGCCGGTTTCTGTGAGTCAGAACCGAAAGCGACGAACGGAAAACACAAACCGTGGAGAAATCTACGGTATATCTCAATAACAATGCATTCATGCATTGTGCATATGCCATTGGTCATCAGTTCAATGCGAACACAACTCATTTAAATGAAAATGAATGAAAATTATAATAATAATAGAATTTTCCCCACTATATAGAAGTAATTCTATATCTTGTTAAAATAAAGTATGCATATCCTTACCTTTGATTTTATCAGTAAATAGTACAATGCGAACACAACTCATTTAAAGTAAAATGAATGAAAATTTATAATAATAGAATTTCCCCCACTATATAGAAGTAATTCTATATCTTGTTAAAATAAAGTACGCATATCCTTACCTTTGATTTTATCAGTAAACAGTTCAATGCGAACAACTCATTTCAATTCAAATTAATGAAAATAATAATAGAATTTCCCCACTACTATAGAAGTGATTCTATATAGAGTTCAAATAAAGTACGCATATCCTTACCTTTGATTTTATCCGTAAACAGTTCATTGGGAACACAACTCATTTCAATTAAAATGAATGAAAATTATAATAATAGAATTTTCCCCACTATATAGAAGTAATTCTATATCTTGTTAAAATAAAGTATGCATATCCTTACCTTTGATTTTATCCGTAAACAGTTCAATGCGAACACAACTCATTTCAATTCAAATGAATGAAAATAATAATAATAATAATAATAGAATTGTCCCCACTACTATAGAGGTGATTCTATATCTTGTTAAAATAAAGTATGCATATTCTTAATTTTATCATAATAAACAACAACCTACATTCAGTGCTGTATTCATTGATCAGTAGTTTGC